AACCCAGAGGAACTCGTCCTGCAGTTACAGAACCCAGAGGAACCCGTCCTGCGGTTACAGAACCCAGAGGAACTCGTCCCGCCCACGAGATGAGATTTGCACTTCTGGTGTAAAAAACATGAAAACGAGTTCAAACTGTGACTTGGGAGAATCTCCTGGATGTTTTCTGTCGTTTGAAACCTTCTGGAGCTGAAAGTGTCCGTCCTCTGGTTCTGAAGGTTCTGATGTCTGAATGTGAGAGGAGCTGCTCCTCCTTATCAACAGGAGGCAGCTGAGGAGGTTCATCAGATCAGGACGTCTTGCTTTGGATGTTTTCATGGCAGGTCCCACAGAGAAGAGATCCCGGGTTGGAACCAGAACTCTCTGCAGGGCTAATAAATCCTCCCTGGAACATGTCAAGGTCCCCCAGGAGGATCTGGACAGAGACAGGTCTGGGATTCTGTCCTGGACCCACTGTCCCTCCTCTGTCCAATCCATCTCAGTGTGTCCTCTCTAACTTCATCTCCAGTTGTTCCACCTGTGCTGAACCTCTGATGAGCTCTAATCTTCTCCTTCCTTGTTTCTCCTAAGGAGAACCTCAACATCTTCATTTCTGCCACTTCCAGTTCTGTCTCCTGTCCTTTTGTCCATGTCTCCGTCTCCAGACCATACAACATAGCTGGTCTCACCACTGTCTTGTAAACTTTTCCTTTGACCTTTGCTGACACTCTTCGCAAATCACCCGTGAATCTTTTCTCCATCCACTCCCTCATGGACTCCGTCTTACTACGGCTGACTTTCAATCCTCTTCTTTCAAGTGCATACCTCCACCTCTCCAAGTTCTCTTCCACCTGTTCCCTGTTCTCACCACAGATAATGTCATATGCAAACATCATAGTCCACGGGGATTCCTGCCTCACCTCATCTGCTACTCTTTTTCACAACAACAGTCATTCTACACACAACCATCCGATGCCGTCTGGCCACGCTCCCCTTCATCAACCTTAGTCCCCAATCTCCCTCAGATTTCCTCTTCTACACAGAATGTAGTCGACCTGTGTACTCCTCCCTCCACTCTTATAGGTCACTCTGTGTTCCTCCCTCTTTTGGAAATAAGTGTAGACTACAGCCATTTCCATTTTCTTGGCAAAATCCACCACCATCTGTCCTTCCTGGTTTCTTTCCTTGACACCAAACCTCCCCATCACTTCCTCATCACCTCTGTTTCCTTCACCAACATGTCCATTCAGGTCTGCTCTGATCACCACTCTGGGAATACTCCCCATCACTTCATCCAGATCTTTCCAAAATGTACATTTCTCCTCCACATCACATCCAAACTGTGGAGCATAACCACTGACAACATTTAGCATCAAACCTTCTGGTTCTACCTTCAGGCACATCACCCTATCTGACACTCGTTTCACCTCTGCTACATTCTTTGCCAACTCCTCCTTCAGGACCACCCCTACTCCATTTCTCTTTTTATCCACACCGTGGTAAAACAGTTTGAACCCTGCTCCAATGCTGCGAGCCTTGCTGCCCTTCCACTTGGTCTTTTGGACACAGAAAATCTACCTTCCTTCTCAGCATCATGTCAGCCAGCTCTCTACCTTTGCTTGTCATTGTCCCCACATTTAGAGTTGCAACCCTCAATCCTACATTCTTGACTTTCCTCTTCTCCCTCTGTCTTCTGGCACGTTTCCCTCCTCATAGTCTCAAACAAACATCCCATAATCTTCAATTAATAATCACAGCCTGTCCCAAATAATTTGGTTGTTTTGGTGTTTGAACAGTTTTTAAGCCGCTACTAAACATTAAAATTAAAAAGACATGTCTGTCAGAACTCGTCCTCCATTTTCTCCTTTTGCTTTGAAATGTTCTTCTCTGGTTTGGAAGGTTTGAGGGTCCCGTTTTATTCTGAAAGTCTTATTCTGCTTCCTGTTTCTGGAGATTTGTTCCTTTAAAATCTTTAGAGAACCTTGTTCCGTTTTTTTTGGGTCATAAACACATTTTGACGTAAAACTTGATCTTTCAAGACAAATGTCACAAAATGCTTCTCAACAAAAAAAACAAAAATAAACATTTGGTTTTCGAGTGAATAAACAAAATTAATCAAAACCAAATTAAATACGTTGAAGTTTAAATTAAGGTCCAGGTCTGCTTCCATCCAGAACTCGTTTGGATTTTAACAAAACAATAAAAACATATTTCATCCTGAATATAGAATTTGAATCAATTTGTAAAATGTGACTTTAAAAATCCAAACGTGGGCAAAGATCAGCTGCTGGACGTCCTGAAGGACAAAGACAGGAAGTCCTGGAAGACAGCGTCCTCAGGAAACGTCTGCTTGTCGCTGATCAGGGAGGAGAAACGTTACATTTGTCACCAGAGGAAGAAAAAAACCATTAAAAACATTTAAAGTCCAAACATTTTCTCGTTTCTTCTGAAATTAATTAACGTTAAAAAGTTTTTCTTTGATCTTCTGACTCCAGCTGGGAGCAGGAAGTTGATCTGAATCTGCAGAACACTTCCTCTGTACGGCAAGCCCTGCGTGCATTTATTCTCTCTTTTACATGGACTAGTTGCGCATTTGGTCACACTAGTTCAACCGAGTCTAACTGGTAGCAGGTTTTATCCAGCACGAGTCAACTAGTCAACCACTTTCTGCTCCAAGTCCCAACTAGTTTATTTAAACAAAGAAGTAAATCACTGGACCAAACAAGTTAACCGAGTAGAGTTAACTAGTCATCATGATCCAACTAGTGAAAAATAAGATTATACAATGCTCACTAGTTGTTGAGTTATTGTGTGTGTGGACTAGTTAACTGATGCAAAGTTAACAGTGGAACTAGTTAACTAAAATATTTACCACTCAAATAGTCGACCATTTTCTATCCCAACTAGTTTAGTTAACTGAGTAGAGTTAACTAGTCATCGTGATCCAACTAGTGAAAAATAAGATTATACAATGCTCACTAGTTGAGTTATTGTGTGCGTGGACTAGTTAACTGATGCAAAGTTAACAGTGAAACTAGTTAACTAAAATATTTACTACTCTACTAGTCGGCCATTTTCTGCTCCAAGTCCCAACTAGTTTGTTTATTTAAACGAGTAAATCACTGGACCAAAGTTAACTGTCATACAAGTTAACTAGTCGTAATCTAACTAGTCAAAAAGAAGATTCTAAAATGCTCACTAGTTGTCGAGTTATTTAACTAATGAATACAATGTAAACAGTGAAACTAGTAAACCAAAATATTTTCCACTCAACTAGTTGGCACGTTTTTGTTTTTACTTGTCAACTAGTGTGTCTGAACTCAGCGCAACTAGTAAAGTGTGACTGGCTTTACTAGTTAACGCGTTATACTGGTCAACTAGTTAACGCGTTATACTGGTCAACTAGTTAACGCGTTATACTGGCCAACTAGTTAACGCGTTATACTGGTCAACTAGTTGGCTACTTTGTAGTGGAGATGGTTTGTGCTGACTGGTTAAAGGTTTACATGTTTAATGGTTAACTTGGTCAGCAGTCCTCCAGTGATGAGTAAAAACACAAACTAGTCCTGGTGACACAAAATGGCCGCCTGTACAAACAGTTGCTGCCAGTTTTCTGGAACTGATCAGACTTTTCTTCTTCCATCATCATCATCATCATCATGGTGATTAGCAGCAGCTCCCGTGCACGGTGCTGTCGCGGCGTGCACGCGCGCTGTGGGACAGAGCGGCCCTTCATTGTGATCAGCAGCTCATTAGTTGAAGGTGTTTTATGAAGGATGGGCAGACTGACACTCACGTGCAGCTCCTGCTAGAAAGTTCTTCATCTAAAATAAAAGCAGGACTCCTCCTCGTGCCTCCTCACATCAACTCACCACGTACAGGATGTTGAGCGCAGAAAGCGCGTTTTTGGCGCAGAAGAATCCTCCGCAAACCATCGCTGGAAACCTGAAGCCGTTTCTGGGGTTCGACTCCCTGCTGGTTCTGGTTCGACTCCCTGCTGGTTTTGGTCCGACTCCCTGCTGGTTCTGGTCCGACTCCCTGCTGGTTCTGGTTCGACTCCCTGCTGGTTCTGGTCCGACTCCCTGCTGGTTCTGGTCGGGTCTGCCGCTGTGGGAGCCGGACTCGGTTTCCTGGAGCGGATGCTGCGCTCTGATTGGTCAGCTCGAATGACTCACCTGCAACAGGTGACGCAGGTGATTACCGATGAACTCTGACCCGACAAGATTAATATTTACCTAAAGAAACGGACTCTGCGGTTAGTGAACGCACCACGGCCTTTCAAAGTAAAAGCTTAAGCCCTTCAGTTCAGTATTAATTTTTATTAAAACGTTTTTTTTAATTTCGGTTCTAAAAGGTGGATTTTGTTTATAATCCAACAGAAAACACAGAAATCTGAACGAAACAAATAAAAAAAAAAAACATTAAGGTGTGAGGAAATTTCATCATAATGTAAAATAAATTAGAATAAAGAAACAAAACAAGCACCGAATTATTTTTATTTAGGAACAGTTTTTAATCTTCTTTATAAACATTTAAATAAAATTTGAGTTTAATTTGCTTTGGTGGAAAACTGACATGTTTTATTAAATGAGGCCACTGACAATAACAACAATAAAAATAAATATATAATAATAATAATATAAACAGATTTTTTTTTAGAAGCCATATGCTTATTCAACTTGTTTAAATGTTTGTGAAAAGAAGTTTTGGGGAAACGAAATGAATTAAATACCCTGAAATTAATAAAGATTAAATTTGGAGCACAGATCATTTTAAAACAGATTCCGTTTCTTCGATTTGTTCAGACAAACATTCAGTTTCTGAAGATAGAAATCATAAATATTTAAAAAAATAATAATTCAAATTTTAATAAACGTTCAATCAGATCAAATTTATTTATTTTTCCCACAGAATTAACAATTTGATTAAAGTTCACTTGTTTATTTGTCTAAAAATGTATAAAACTTTGCTTTCATGGAGATTTTCATGATAAAATCCCACAGAAAACCAGGAAGTGTTTTTTGTTTTGATGCTCACGCTTTCATCGTGTTTCTGTTTAAATTTTATTTATAATCATTTACTCTTAAATGAGTAAAGTGGGAGTGGTGGTGTAGAGGTTAGAGAAGGTGGGCCTGTGATTGCTGGTTCAACTCCTGGTACGGACAACATCAAAATGTGGGAGGCCACCACCTGCCTCCACCATTATTTGCCCTATTCTGGGCCCTTGAGCAAGGCACTTAACCCCCACCATCTGCTCCCTCGGGCTGTCTTATGGCAGCTCTCTGCTCCACACAGAGGCTGTGGTAGCTCGGTGGTCTGTGGTTGTGTCAGGAAGGACATCTGGCGTAAAAACAATTGCCAAGACTCTTTGTGCACGTTATAATCCGCTGTGGTGACCCCTGAAGAAGGAGCAGCTGAAAGGAGAGGAAAAAAAAAAATTTAGTCTTATAACAGAAAAAGGTTTAGTCTTTTAGTGTTCTGTTTTTCTTGATATATTCCGACGCTCTTCCGAATTTATATATATATATATATTTATGCAAAGTTCTGTTTGTGAATCCTTTAAAATAAAGTAATAAGTATTGATAAAAATATTGAATTTGTCCAAAATCCGTCCTGTTTGGAATGTCTAACAGATTCATATTGAGTGAAGAAAACAAACAAACAAACAAACAAATATATAAAAAACAACAGAAGTAGAAAACATTCACACGTTCCAGTGTAATGAATCAAAGTGTTTGTCTCCCCCTGGTGGCCACATGCGTGTACGTCACGAACCCGCGGCATGATGGGAAACTTTCAGAAACATCCTTCCATTCTCTTTACCCGCTTCCTCCTGTTCGGGTCACGTGGGGCACTGGTGCCCAGCAGTCACTGTGTGAGAGGCGGGGCTTCTCAAACTTCATATAAACAGATCATTAGAATTATTATTATATTATTACAGATTATTATATAAATATATATCACAGAGTGAAAACAGGAGGTGGAAAAAACATCAGAGATGAAACAAACTCAAATACATGTATATTATAAATAAACAAATATAAACACCACAAGAAAACAACAATACATTTATTTTTACTGCAAATGACAAAACTCCATCATCCATAATCCATCCATCATCCATCCATCCATCCATCCATCCATCATCCATCCATCCATCCATCCATCCATCATACATCATCCATCCATCCATCCATCCATCCATCCATCCATCCATCATACATCATCCATCCATCCATCCATCCATCCATCCATCATACATCATCCATCCATCCATCCATCCATCAT